GTAACTGAAATTTTCTTTCAGTAACCATTTTTTGGTGGATGATCTTTTGGAAGCTCCTGAACCGGAACTCCGCATGTTGTAGAGACTTCTACCACAAGCCATTCCCTTGCAAAATAGCATATCACCCACTATTTCGGGACTGTCTCGGATGTTGGACTTGACTCGCTGTCCGATGGTGTGGATCACAACTGGACACCTGCTTCAGGAGGTCGGATGGGAATCCACACCATCGGTCATATTGTCAAGTCCAACCATCACTCATCCAAGCCAGTCATGAAACACATCCCAAATCTTAAAACATAATATATCATAGACCCTTCACGCTTTTGCAGCTAATTCATAATTGTTAGCAAGCAGGGAAGAAAATGCAAAATTGTTTATGAATCAGTAATATCCAAAATACATCACTTGCAAAGTTTCAACTTTTTAAAAAACAATGCCACTACAGATTTAGGATAAGGCTTCGTAGCAAGACAAGTAGGAATGTTTTCTGGCTGTTCAATCCAGAGTTTATGAGCAATACCTCCAGCTTTGAGCTTCTCTGACAAGTTCAAGATTTGAGGTTCTCCTTTCACCTCCAGAGTAACCTGGCATAAAAAAGGAGAGACAGATCCTAGGTCATAACTGATAATCCTCATAAACTTTCAAAGTTGAGAGTTCTATGTATCAAATATTGATGTCCCCAGTTCTCGTTGATACCCTTTAAGCATAAATCTCCATTTCTCAATGTGAACAAATCCAAGGCACAAGGCAAACTGGCATCATACAATCTCCAGCAATACAAATCAAGGCATACATATCCAGCTAAAACACGTCCTCAAAGGCAATGCAAGTTATTAGGAGGCAGCCAACCTGAGACATCATAGGCCTTGTTGATGCAAACCAGGACATGAGACAACAATAACAAATGCTAAATACAAGAATCAACATAAACAGTTCGAATGATGCTTCATAAATAAAACTTCGAATTTTACACGAACAGCCTCAAGGGCAAGAGTAGGAATTCGAAATCATTTATTTGATGTGTCTACTCATGTAAGATTCATTGACTTTTATACCTTATAATTATCTTAATCCGAACATTTTGACCACCTTCCTTGCTGGAAATTTCCACTACATAATCTCCTCTAACCTCTAATTTGAAAATGTTGTCACCAAAATATCCAATTTATCTACTAAGACTGAGTAATACACCAATAACCCATCATGGCATTCATCTTTTTCTACCATTTCCAAGTTGAGAAATTTATGAAAAATCAAAAAGGAAAAAAAAACCAAGAAGGAAAATTGAAAAAGAAATTACCTTATGCATAGAATCGATATTTTCAGGGCTACAATACTGAAGAGTATGAGGATCCTCCTTGTGTGACCAAATGACCGAAACAGAGGCATGGCATCCCTGTGTCACCACACTCCCCATCGGCCACGTGTCTATTAGGTCTCTCCTTAACACCACATACTGCACCAACACCTCATCTGAGTTCTCTGCTTTCTTTTCTTCGTTTTGTGGATTGGGTTCTGAATCTGTGGTGAACTGACTCATGGAGCTCGACGCGAGTTGGGTTAGTGACAGAGTTGTAACGCGGAAGGGGAAGGAGAGGTCACGAGCCCTAATTTTGGATCTTGAAGGTGTGAGGTGACGGAGGGAGGGGGTTAAACGACGTGGTGAAAGAAGAG